TTTCTGTTTTCCTCAGTCCTTTCCTGTGTATAAGAACCAAACTTCTTTGCTCAGATCATTGAAACGAAATGTTGAAATGAAATGGTGTCCAATTTTAGAATCAAAAACAAAAGCTGATTAAGGTCTTCAAACTAAATGTCTTGTAATTTTGTCTTTTGACAATAGTAAGCAAATCCCTGATTTATACAAATCCTTCAATTTCCACTAGGAGATAAATGACTATAAGTAAACTTCTAATACTTGGCAACTTTTCTCTCTCAATAAAACTCAGTTGAATAAATTTTAATGATAAATTAAATTTAATAATTTATTAAATTTAATGACTATGAAAATAATAAATTAAATGACTATGAAAACATTTTAATAATCTATTATATTGTATTTAAGTAATATCACAATAAGAAACAAGAGTAAGATGACCTGTACAATATTTTTATTACTTGACATTTGAGCTATCTATTTATGGATGATTTACCTATTTTAAATAATGATTAAACCAAGGTCCATTGTAAATTTTCTTCAAGTAATACTCTTCTAATTTAACACTATTGCTTTCTGGATAATATTTCCTACTGCTAAAACTTAATACAAATATTTGGTAATGTTTTTTGTTCTTTGGAGCTAATGTTTTGGCATCAACCAAAGTCCAGATGTACACTTGAGAACTTGCACATTCAAATAATGAGTTTTAATGAGTAGTCAGTATAAAATTAAATTTACTAAAATGTTTTTCCTGTGCTCATTGGATATACTGTCAATACTGTATGTTGGGAGAAGGTAGCAGCCTAGTTATTGAGGTGTTAATGAATTCACATAGACAAGGGAAAAAGGGGTAAGCATTTCTGTGAGCTTAGCATAACAAAATGTCTGTGATTTCATACAAATATTTAGTATTATTTTGTTATAACTGGTAACTCTAAAAGGAAAACTAACTAGTCTTATAAGTAATTAACAGTTAACATTACACTATAAAGGACTGGATTAGCCAATAAGAATATCATCAAAGTTCACCACTTTACCCACAAGATATTTTCAAGCACATTCATGGTGAAATAATACACAGTGACAATGGAAATCTTACAAGAAACACATTTTGGCAGAAGGCAGGAGCATGCCTGGGACCTAGGTAGGAACTGTGGGCAGCCTCCCTTGCCCAGCAGAAGGCAGGAGCACTCCAAAAGCACCACTTCTACATGGGTGGTCCACCACAGCTACTGCCACAGTCACTGCCTCTGCAGGGGCATCTCATTGCCACAGCAGCAGCCACAGCCACCAGGCAGGTGGCTCACTGCCCACTTTCCCTCATTGTCAAGAAGAAAGTCACCAGCAGAGACCAGAGAAAGAAGAGAAGTCTCGCCTCAAAGCCTACTCCAGAGTAATAGAAGAAGCAACTGCTCCACCATATGACAAGACATAAACATAGAGATACTAGAAGTATGAAAAATCAAGAAAATATAACATAATGAAAGGAATACAGTAATTCAGACCCCATAGAGCAGAAAACCCTTGAAATCTCTGAAAAAGAATTCTAAGCAATAATCTTGAGGAAACTCAATGAGGTATAAGAAAACTCATTTAGACGACATAATGAAATGAGAAAAAATATCCAGGACATGTAGGAGAAAATACACAAAGAGATTAATACCTTAAAAAAGCATGTAGCAGAACTCCTGGAAAATAAGTATTCATTCAATAAAATAAAAGCCACAACTGAGAGCTTAAGAAGCAGGCTAGAGAAAGCAGAGGAAAGAATTTCTGATATTGAAAATAGTCTTTTCAAAATAACCAAGGTGGACAAAAAAAAAAGGAAAAAAAAAATTAAAAATGAAGAAAATCTAAGAGAGCTAATAGACAACCTTAAGCACACAAACATCCAAATTATGAGTGTTCCAGAAGGGAAGGAGAAAGAAAAAGCATTGAAAGCCTATTCAATGAAATAATAATGGAAAACTTCCCCCAAATAGTGAGAAATACAGACCTTCAGATCCATGCATCTCAAGATCTCCAAACAGATTTGATCCAAAAATATCCTCCCAATAAAGGGAATACACCATATCAACAAAATCAGGAACAAAAATCATATGATTATCTCAATAGAAAAATCATTTGAAAAAATTCAACCTCCTTTCATTGGAAAGACTCTCAGCAAATTAGGTACAGAAGGAAAGTATCTCAACACACTAAAAGCCATATTCGACAAACCCACCACCAATATCATCCTGAATGATATAAGAACAGGAACAAAATAAGGATGATCACTCTCACCACTCCTATTTAACATAGTAACATAACACTTTTAATTTAACATTTAGCCTGAGCAATCAGGTAAGAGAAAGAAATAAAGGGCATCCAGATTGAAAAAGATGAGTGTCCCTGTTTACAGGTGACATGATCCTATATATAGAAAAACTGAAAGACTTTACCAAAAAACTCTTAGAGCTGATAAACGATTTCAGTAGAGTTGCAGGATACAAAATCAACATACAAAAATCAGTAGCATTTTTATACTCCAAACATAAACTAGCAGTAAAAGAAATCAAGAAAGCAAGCCCATTTACAATAGACACCAAAAAATAAAATAATTACCAACCAATTTAACCAAGGAGGTGAAAGAGCGCTACAATGAAAATTACAAATCACTGCTGATAGAAATTAAAGACGACACAAAAAGAGGGAAAGACATTCCATGCTCTTAGATTGGAAGAATTAAATGTGAAAATGTTCACAGTACCCAAAGCGATCTACAGATTCAATGCAATCCCTATCAAAATATCAATAACATCCTTCACAGAAATAGAGAAAACAATCCTAACATTTTCATATGGAACTACAAAAGATCGCAAATAGCCAAAGCAGTCCTGAGCAAATAAATAAATAAATAAATAAATAAATCTGGAGGCATAGCACCACCTGACTTCAAATTAAGCTACAAAGCTATAGTAACCAACACAGCTGGGTACTGGCATAACAAGAGACACTCAGACTAATGGAACAGAATAGAGGACCCAGAACTCAACCTACATACTTATAGCCAACTCTTATTTGACAAGCGCAACAGGAACATACATTGGGGAAGGCACAGCCTCTTCAATAAGTGGTACTGGGAAAACTGGACATTCACATGTAGAAGAATGAAACTAGACCTATACTTTTTCTATATGCAAAAATCAACTCAAAATGGATTAAAGACTAATATATAAGACCTGAAAGTATAAAACTACTAAAAGAAAGCATAGGAGAAACAATTCAGGAAGCAGGACTGGGCAAAGACTGAATGAATAAGACCCCCAAAAGCATAGGCACCAAAGAAACTATAAACAAATGGGATTATATCAAACTGAAATGCTTCTGCACAGCAAAAGAAAGTTAACAGAGTGAAAGACAATCTATATAATGGGAGAAAATATTCACAAACTATGCATCCAACAAAGAATTGATATCTAGAATATATAAAGAACTCAAACAACAGTAAGAAAACAAGTAACCCTTGAAAAATGGGCAAAGGAGTTGAATAGCCCTTTCTTAAAGGAAGATATACAAATGGCCAACAGACATATGAAAAAATGCTCAACATCAATAAACATCAGGGATATGCAAGTCAAAACCACAGTGAGGTTCCTCGAACGACTACAGGTAGAACTACCAAATGATGCAGCAATCCCACCGACAGGTGTAACTCAAAGAAATGGAAATTTCATGTCAAAGCGGCACCTGTGCCCCACATTTATTGCAGTTCTGTTTACCACAGCTAATAGTGGGATCCAGCCTAAACGTTCATTGTCAGACGACTGGATTAGGAAAATGTGGTATATGTACAAAATGTAGCACTATTCTGCCATAAAAATGAACAAAATACTGCCATTTGCAGCAACATGAATGTTACTTAGAGGAAATTATGTTAAGTGAAATAAGCCAGGCACAGAAAGAGAAGTACTGCATATCTTACTCATAAGTGGGAGCTGGAAAAAGAAAAAAAAGAAAGAAAGATAAAACAATGACAATAATTCATTGAACTTTCAAAAGGAGAGAACAGAACTGAGGCCTCCAGAGGTGGGAAAGGGGAGAGGGTAATGAGAAATTGGTAAAGGGCCACGAAAAATGATTATACTGTATAATAAGAAATACAGTAATACTTATAAAAAAGAAATACATTTTTAGTTTCATGAAACTGCTGTCAATCTTTGGATACTTGTAGAATTGCAAAGGAGTAATGTAAATGGCAATCCACTTTATTGAACATTTTAATCTTTAATATTTTATTGTTTAGAATAACTATGCAACACCAGCAGATATATATTTCTTTCTTAATTCTGCATTATATTTCTAAGATTAGTTTCTAAGGAATTCCAGGCAAATGTTATTGTGGTATACTAAAAGATGACTTTTCTGTATTGTAAGTATTTGAGGTTGATACACATAAGAACAGACTTTTCCAATTGTTTTAATAAGCTGCCTGAATAAAGGAATGAGGAAATTATTTAAAAACTTAAATCTTCTGTAACAGTGTTATAATGCTCATCCTTAAACACCCTGTGATTTTAAAAAATCAGTAATCAGCGTTATGTTGTTTCAAACCGAAAACCTACTCATTACAAAAAATTTGATTTTCATAACTGTGATTAGTCCTAATAAGTTTTATCAACAGGTAGGGTGACCGACTCGTCCTCATTTTGGGGGGACTTTCCTGATTTCACAACTGAAATCCCCATGTCCTGGAAACCACCTTAATCTTGGGCAAACTGAGATGGTTGGTCACTGTAATTACAGGTCACTTAAATATCTGTTGCCTTAAATACATATAATACAAAATATCACCAAAAATAAGACTGTCAATATAATTTATAAAATTTAAAATTCTCTGCAGAAAGGGTAAAATTGATTTAATTTTGCTGGTCATAAGAGCATAATGTTTGCATAAAGTCTGTTTAAACAAATAGAGAGCAGTGACATTTAACACTGGTTATAACAATGATCAAAATTTACTTCAATAAGATACTTACTTCTGTAAAAATTCTTCAGAGCCGCATATACTTAGAAGATGATCTTTGGGGAATAACTGGTCATTTGCACAAAAATGCAGAATTTCTGCAATTAGGTCTTTGACAAGACAATTAGCTAAAAACAAAGATGAATAATAAAAGTTAACATGAGCTTATCATATATTGGCTTGGAAAATTTTTTTAGCACATTATGAAGTATTGTAACTGTCTAGCTTCATCAAGAGGAATTAAAATGAGATGCATCTCATTTAGTAGTCTGGTTAGATTTAGACATATTTTTGAAAAACATTGTTTGCAATTCCTGTCTTCTCCTTTTTACTTATTTAGATTTCATATTCCTAACATTTCTAGCAACAGCTTCTATCTTGTACCAAAGTCATTATTAATACCGTCTTCAGACTTTTGTTCTTTTGAGCACATATGTAATACTAGTAAAACACTAATATGAAGGGATGAAGGTATCACAGTTTTGGCATAAAGATTATTTTTTTATTTTTATTTTTTTTTGTGACCGGCCACACCGCGCTCAGCCAGTGAGTGCACCGGCCATCCCTATATAGGATCTGAACCCGCGGCCTGCACTCTCCCGAGTGCGCCATGGGGTCGGCCCGGCATAAAGATTATTTTTTTATTTTTATTTTTTTTTGTGACCGGCCACACCGCGCTCAGCCAGTGAGTGCACCGGCCATCCCTATATAGGATCTGAACCCGCGGCCTGCACTCTCCCGAGTGCGCCATGGGGTCGGCCCGGCATAAAGATTATTTTAATGTGAAAACATTTGAAATCTTATCCGAACTTTCCTTTTCTGACTAAAGCAGAGACTCTTGAAAATACAGCTGCCATTAACTCCCTTTTGACGGGATTTCCTCCAAATTCCAGGAAGGAGAGAGACTGCTCATTCCTATTTGCATTAAAAGAAAAAAAAAAAAAGAATCTTCTATATTTTCCTATTGAAGTCCTAAAACCACTCCTTTTTTGTGAAGTTGGTATATGAAGCTTTTCATCTGGGCATTCAGGTCCATGTGCATGTGTAAATAAACTTTTTTCTCTCCTGCTAATCTCTCTATTGTCAATTAATTCACAACTTTCATCCTGAACCATTCAGACCTAAGTGGGCAGAGGAACCTTTTCCCTCCAAACAGCTGTAAATGTTACTCTGTATGTTTTCATGAATGTGTCTTTTCTCCTCTGCTACTTCTTTCTCCTTCACTTCTTCCTAGTCTTTCTTCTCTTCCTCCTCCTAAGACTTTTAACATCTCTGAGGACATGGAAATCCTTTTTACCACTTCACAATTTTAACACTAAACACAACTTCATTACTTTGCTATTCTCGTAAAAGTTGAAAATGGCCTCTGGCTTGCCAAATTCAACAAATGGACATCCAGAGAGAGATGCTGGAAATTATAGTAACATAAAAGAACAGAAGTGGTCTCCATAGTTTATGATTATTTTCTGCCTTTTAGCAACTGAAGCCAACATGACCCAGACTCAGGTCCATCTGATTGGATCAAGGTGCAGTACTATTGATATTGGCTGGTGATCAGAATCCTACTTTTAGAAATTGGGAATTGGATCCAAGAGAGATTGAACTCTCTTTAGGTGGCTGGTCAAATAGCACATATGCTTGAGAGCTTGGTTTTCCACTTGGAGAAGCAAAGGAAATGAATTAGCAGAGAGCCAGAGACACGTGGGAAGCAACAATACAGACAGATAAAGTAAGAAGTATAGAAGAATTTGGGGCCGCCTAGTCATTTGTGTTTTTAGTACCCTCCTAGTTCTTTGCTGAATTCCCACTTTTTTTTTTCTTCCTTTTTTTGTCTTTTTTACTGACCGGTAACAGGATCGCAACCCTCGTTGTTGCGCCCATACTGGGGACCAGCAACGGGATCGCAACCCTCGGTGTTGCGCCCGCACTGCGCTCAGCCAGTGAGCGGGAACCGGTCTCCACATGGGATCCGAACCCTCGGCGGGAGCGCCACCGCACTCCCAAGGGGCGCACTCTCCAGTGCGCCACCGGGCCGGCCCTGAATTCCCACTTTTGAATTCTATAGGAAATCCTTATATTATTAAAATTTTTTTTTCTGCTTAAAGCAGCGGTTTTGATTTCTGTTAGTTTCAAAACTTGATAGTCCGAACTAACATAGCAACACTGCTATGCTTGTAGTTTTCTGTACTAACTCAGAAGCTTGAATAGAGTAAAAAATAAAAAAAGCAAAATAATCATCATCGTCATCAAGAAATAAAAGTTTTCTGTGTAGAAACATAATTAGTAGAAACTAAATGTTGTTTAAAGAACTAATAATGTTTTGCAAAGCAGTGGACTATAATAGTGAAATAAAATATTAAGCAACTTTAAAGATATTCTAAAACTTTAGAGAAACAGGAATCATCAGGTGAGTCTGATAAAATACAAATTCCTGGGATCCATGCACAGAGACTCTGAGTCAATAGGGGAGATACTGCACAGGGCTGTTAGACTTCTCACTGTGCTAACAGAGACTATGTATCAATGCCTGTTCTACCCCATATCTATTTCTATTTGAATAAAATAGCTATTTCCAATGGATAGGAGCAGTCATTTTCACTTATGTATCATGTTTGTCTAGATTCTTTTTGAAATTTAGAGCTTTTTATTTTAATATGTTGAAAATTTGCTATACTTGCTATTAAGCATTTTACAAGCAGGAGAATAAAGTACTCTGGGGTGGGCAATGTAAGGAGAGTTCTTGAAGAAAATTGCCTTAAACGTTAACAAAAGTCTCCCAGTTATTTTCCTCTTAATTCACTTCAGGGCCAAACAGTAGCTAATAATGCCTCTTTAAATGATTTTAGTTTGTGAATTCAAGGCTATGTACCCAATAGCGGCTTTATGTGAATTTCTATACTTAATTGCAAAGTTGCTTACCATATGGCGTAAAATGAAGTAGTTCTGTTGAGTTACCAGTAAATATATTTATGTTAAACCTAGTATTAGAAAATAGCTGATATGGAAATTCTGTAATGGTGCTCCAGATCTTCCCAGAATTGGAATTAATGTCAGCTGCATGATATGTTTCCCTTATTCTGAAAAATATATGTGAAGAAAAATACTTACGACAAGATCTGCAAGATATAACTTAAAAAAAATATTGCCCACAATATAATTTAAAGAAACTTCATGAATTGTTTTGCTATAGAAGATCTAAAGCATTAAAACAGTAGCTGATTTGTGGCACAATGCAAAGATTCTAGGCCAGATTGATAGAGATTACGATTATATGAAAAACAAGTATAAAGGACTGTTCTTTAGGTTTTCCCAGGAGTACCTCATTTGAGATAGTTAAGGATACATTGTCATAAAATAAAACATGAGAATTCACTCTGAACATTGGCACTTGCTTCGTTTACATTGCTTTTGATGTCTGAATTCCTCCTTTTGGATTTCTCTTATCCCTAACTTTCTCAAGCTGCAAGTCACTAATTTTGACTTAGAGATTTTGGTAAATAAATTTTCTTGTTTGTATTTAATTTGTAGACTCTCCGTTTTCTTTAAATTTTTTTGAATTTGAAACAAATATTTGGATTTCACACATATAATTGAGCTTAGAAATCATTTGTACATTCTGAACAATTATCTATTACATAAATGAACCAAAGAATTGCAAAACAGTTTATCTATGGAGAGAGAAGCCTTGCGTTTGAATCCTGGAATTTCTACTTACTAATGTTATGGCCAGAGGCAAGTTATTTGACTAGTTTCTTTGTTTGCACAAAAGGGGGCATTCCTATCTACTTCAAAGGTTTAGTGTGAGGATTAAAAGAGAAGTGTGTAAAAGATTTGCATAAGATAGAGTAATATACAAATGTGATGTATTATAATTATCATTGTATGTTGCCACAGTTTGATTTCTGTCGGTCCATGTTTCATGCCCACATGTAGAATATAACATAAAAATATTTACAAGTAGGTGATATTTAAAATGCTCTTGATGGTGAATATGAAATCTTGTTTTCTATGTGAATTATGCTGATATCTAAACTTCACAGTGCTCTTTCTGAATGGAAACTTATGCATTTTACATTAATACATTGCATCCTTAATGTTCATTGTATTCCGTTTGTGCAGTGAAAAACTAGTGCCAGGCCTTTGAAGTGGCTCCATCTTTTTTTTCCTTTTTTTCCCTTTTTGTCTTTTTTTGTGACCAGTAACGGGATTGCAACTGGTAACGGGATCGCAACCCTCGGTGTCGCGCCCGCACCGCACTCAGCCAGTGAGCAGACCGGTCCCTATATGGGATCCGAACCCTCAGCGGGAGCGCCGCTGCGCTCCCAAGCACCGCACTCAACCGAGTGCGCCCCCGGGCCGGCCCGAAGTGGCTCCATCTTTAACACTATTAGATTCCATGGAAACATCCCCTCTACAAGGGCCCGACAAATGGATGTGTGTATTCACTCAATGGGTCCGACATGCATCAGTATCACCTTGTATTCTGCGTCCTATTCCCATCGTTTCTGATTCAGTATATCTGTGGAGGATCCCCCAAACTTGCCCTACAAATAGTTTCTCAAGTAAGCTGCTGCTGCTGCTCTGGAACTGGAGTTTGAGAACCACTGCTCAGGATAAAGATATGGGTCACTTTCCCTTGCTATACCCTACCGCAGAGGTCTAGACTCCATTTCTGGATCATGGAGCTTTATGATTTAGCATTTACCATATGGTAAGATACTACTCAGTGCATACATGATTTCAGCTTTTACCATTTTGGGGAATTAAATTTAAAATGCAAATTCATGGTTCATTCTGTCCTAAACCTTTCCTGAGCATCATCTACTGTGGGCCACTAACATCTTTCCAGATGCTATAGTATTTTATCATTTTTTTAAAAATAAGAATGTGGCATATTTCTTGAAAGATGTGTCTTTGACTTATGTCACACACAAAAAAATGAATCCAACAAATTAGAAAACTTCTTTAAAGGCGTATAAAAGGAATGTTAATAACATATTTAGGTATGCTTATTTAAATATTAGGAAAAAACCAGATTCAATTGGATATCTACATTGATTCTCTTCTGGATTTCCATAAGTTTTGGAAAGTCTGTTAAGAAACTTGGCTTTCATATTCAATTTATCTTCTTCTTTTGAATTAACAGTGCCTAGCACACAGGTCCTCAGATTATTGCTGAGAGAATAGTGTTTGTGTCCATAAATAATTATGTGTATATACATTTAATCATTTTGTAAATGAGTATTTTTCAATAAATTTATTGAAATCAAAGAAAAGTATGTATTAATATAACCTATGGTTTCTTTCACTGCTCTAAAGTTATTGTCTGGTTGTTTGTTTCAGTTCTCATGGTTATTTTGAAAGAAACCATTAAGAAAAATTATATTTAAGAATTTGGAAAATGCACCACAAGCTATTGACAAACTATCACAGGAAATATTTTCATGTCACCACTGTTTCCACAAGAAGATTTTACCTAAGAATATGAAATTATGTTCTGAAAAAAGGTGTTGCCAGAGGAGCTAATATTAAGAGTTCTGTCTGTGGAGTTATCCTGAGGAGCGATATATTAAAGTATTAAGAGAGCTATTTTTCATGCTTAGAAGGTAGAAATTACTATATTTTAAATTTAATGTGGCAAGTTTTTAGCAATGCTTGTCATTTTGTAGTAAGTAACTTATTCCTGAAAGAATCAATATTGATAATTTTAAAGATCCTAATTTAGGAATAAAAACACCATTAAAAATTTTTTTTTCTGTAAACTGGGCAAGAAATTAATTAAAGTTAAATATTTTCATGGATTTGAGATGATTTGTTTTGTTTTTATGTGTGTGCCTTTCAAACCTTCCAATATGGTTGCACTGTTTTTGAGACAGGGACGTTGCTTTTTTGTTTGCATGTTTGTTTTAAATTTAAATATCTCTCATGTATGAACTAGTGATTAGGCACTTAAGTAGCCTTTAAATTAATGATTAAATAAATAATCCAAATAAATAAAAAAATAATCCAAATCTTTAATCCCAAATGATCATTTAGTAAGAAGCTAAAGCTTATAAAAATATATTTATTATATTTGAACAGCTATACATGGATAAAAACCAAGAGAATTAAAGTGTTGTAAATACACTAATTTTTAAAATTTTTCAAGAATCTTAGCAGAGATGACATTATATAAACTGTAATTGCTAACAAGAAATTGGTCTTTAAAAAAGGCATTTATCTTTATATCTAATTATTATAGTAATATTTTAATTCATTTTTAGATTAGCAAAAAAGATTAATGATGTGTTTGTAATATCCCCTAGAGATCATAGTTGTTTTTCAGTGCATTAACACACATATATTTGTTTAATATTCTGGCAACCATTCAAGATAAGATTGAGCTATTAAGAGGAAGACACTCATGATTCTAAATAGAATATCCCAGGTAGGAAAGATAAATCTATGTTAATTTGGGGCTGAGCTAGAGGAGTCAGTCACTTGTGTTATTAAATGAGAAATTAATTCACTGTAAACTGAAATACCAACAAACAACAAGAGCAAGTCCGCATTTATGAAACGTTCAACTCTAACCAAATTTTCAAGAGAAAAAAATCTATTTGACTATAAATAATATAAGTAGGTTAATGAACTAATTTGTCAAAAATTTCTACTTTTTACTTCTTCAAATTACAAGACTTTGACATTTTATATACAAAATCAATCACTTCAATTATGTAAAAAAACAAAAATTTGTTCAGGCACAAACTTCAAAGTCTAACAAAATAGCAATACTCACTTTTTTACTTTGTTGCAAAAGGAGGCCAGAGTCATATTACTGCCTTGAGGTACCTCAGCCAGCTGAATGGAACAACCTATTGACTTAAAATAAAAAAGGCTAAATTAATACAGTTTGATGTAGAGAAAAGATTAACACAATTCTACAATGTTTATCCTATTTTCAACATTGATTCAGATTTTATTTTTATTTTTTATTAATATTTTAACTGAATTAATACTTACATGTAGAAAAATGCATAGATCTTAAGTATATAATTTGAATTCTGTGGAATACCTACAACTGTGATATTAATACACCAATGAAAATATAGAACATTTCCCTCACTTTGGAAATTTTCCCCATATCTCCTTTTAATCAATCTGCACACCTGTTTGATAATTACTGTTATTCAGATTTCTATCACCATAGATTAGGTGTATATGCTATTTTGTTCCTGACTTCTTTCACTTAAGTGATATATATTTTTAAAATATATCCATATTGTCACATATATTAAGAGTTTGTCATTTTTATTGCTGGTTAGTAGTATTCCATGTGTGACTAATCTATAATTTGTTTAGCCATCTCCTGTTGACAAACATTTGGATTGTTTTTAACTTTTCAGTATTGTAAAGAAAACTATTAACTTTTATATACAAGTAATTATGTGGACATATGCTTCATTTTTCTGAGAATACATGCATAAATGTCTCAGTCATATGTGTATGATTAATTTTTAAAGAAATAATTTTTGCCTTATGTATTTTGAAGCTCTGTTATTAGGTACATACACATTTCAATTTGTTTTCTCTTTGTGATCAACACTTTGATTATTATAAAATGATACTCTTTTTCTCTAATAATACTCTCTCTTAAACTGTACTTTAATAACCACATCAGATTTCTTTTTCTGGTTGAATGCTAAGTCTTTTCATTTCTTTTACTTTCAACCTATCTGTGTTTATGTTATCATAAGTTTGTTTCTTGAGACAGTAGTTGAGTCTTTCTTTTTTATTTAGTTAATTTCTGCCTTTTATTTGGTGTATTTAGTCTATTCATATTGAAAATATTTATGGAGGTTGTTGGATTTAAGATTGCCATATTTGTGTCTGTTTCTTTTCTTATTGTAACATAGTTGATTATACATATCTGTAGGGTTCAGAGTTGAATATTAACACCTGTGTGCAATATGTGATGCTCAAATAAAGATAATTAGCATACTCAATATAATATAATGTAACCATTTTTAATGTCTTTACCAATTCTTCTCTTAGCCTCCCCCGCTTCCCCACCTCTGATAACCTCAGTTTATATCCGTTTCTATTTCTCTTCTATTATATTTTGTTCTTTTGTTTCTCCTTTTTTGGTTTATTTGATTTTTTTTCCTATTTCATTTATTCCTCTGTTGGATTTTTAGATTTTATTCTTTGAATATCTTTCAGTGGTTGTGCTAGCTTTAGTAATTATAATATTCATCCTTAACCTATCTCAGTTTACATAGTTAAATACTATACCATTATATTTAAAATGTGAGAATTTACAACAGCAAAACAATATTTACCCCCTCCCAACCTTTATGTTTTTGTTGTTATATTTTTCATCCACATACACAGTAAATCCCACAATAACATGCTATTATTTTGCTTTATTCATCTGTCTGACAAAAATTAAGAAGTCTTTTGTATTTACCAATATACTTACCATTTTTATCACTCTTCATTCCTTTCTAGAGTCCATGTGGTGTCATTTTTCTTGTACCTGATACATTTATTTGGCATTTCTTGTGTGCATGTTGGCTGACTAATTTTTTGTCAACATTTGCTTATATGTCTTTATTATCAGTTTTGAAACATATACTCTATGGATATAGAAGTAAGTTTTTTTCTTTCTTTTAATGAACTTAAAAAATGTTATTTCATGACACTGGCTTTCATTGTTTCTGATAAGTTTGCTTTTATTCAGATTGTTGTTCCACTGTGTGAAATGCTTTTCCCTCTTTGTCTCCTTTTATGATTTTCTCTTCACATTTGCTCTTCAGATGTTTAAGTATATTGTGCCTACATGTACTTGGCCTTGTATTTAATCTGTTTGGGATTTGTTGAGCTTCTCAAATCTGTAACTTGATATTTTATACCAAATTCTATAAACTTTCTGAAAATTATTTCTTGAAGTTAATTTTTCTCCCTATTTTTCTTCTCTCCTGCTAGTATACCAAATGTCCAGATATTAAACTCCTTGTCTGATAAGTCTCTGAATCCTTTCTCATTTCTATGTAATGCTTTTCTTTTCTCTTCTTCTATTTAGGTAATTTTTATTGTTTTGCTTTGAAGTTTACTATTTTCCCTGCCCTTTACTATCTGTCGTTAAGTACACCCAGTGACTTTTTTTATAGCAGATATATTTTCAGTACTAGTATTGGCATTTATTTTTGTTTGTGTTTTTATAGTTTCTAATTTCCTTTTGAGATTCTTCATTAAATTACCCACAATGAGCACCTTTTACTTTATCTACTTGAACATACTTTTAATAACTACTTTAAAGTTCCTATCTGTTGGGCCGGCCCGGTGGCGCACTGGATGGTGCGCCGCTTGGGAAGCGCGGCGGCGCTCCCGCCCGAGGGTTCGGATCCCACATACAGACCGGTTCCCGCTCACTGGCTGAGCGAGGCGCGGGAGCAACGCCAAGGGTTGCAGAGGCGCAGGAGCAACGCCAAGGGTTGCAGTCCCGTTGCCGGTCCCCGGTCCGGTACGGGGGCAACACTGAGGGTTGCGATCCGTTGCCGGACACGGAAAAAAGACAAAAAAAAAAAAAAAAAAGTTCCTATCTGTTAATTCCAACATCTGGATTATCTCAGAGTCTCCTTCTACTGATTGGGTTATATTTTTTGATTGTGGGTCAAAATTACTTGCTTCTTTATGTATCTATGCATTTGTTATTATGTGTAGGATATTGTAGATGGCACATTATGAATTCATTTTTTTTTTAAGTAAAGTACCATTTTCCTATGGCAGGCAATTAAAATCCTTTTGGTATTGTCAACTTTGTTTTAGTTTTCTGTTGGGCCACATCATTTTGGTTGGTGTAGCATTTACTTTAGAGCATGGGTTTTACTCTTAAAGGATGGCTTTGTGGAGTCTCATTTGAATGCCTAAAGTGCTCAGCTCAGTCTCTTTAGCTCGGCTAGAATTTCTGCACTGTATACATTCTACTTTGTGTGGTAAATTCAATCACCATCCAATTCTCAGCTAAAAGCTGACAATATTTATTAAGCCTCACAGGCACATGGCAATACTTGGCTAAGAATGTGCAGTAAATCCCCTGTGTGCTTCTAACCCCCAACCGGTGCATAGCTCCTTTTTCTCCAGCACTCTGGCCTGCAAATCACAGCCACTTCTACAGCCTGGAATTACAGGCTCTGACTCCTAATCTCAGTGATAACTGCTGCTCAAATTGGACCCTGCTACTTGCATAGCAGCCAGAACCTGTCCTCACACAGAAACCAGGATGATCACAAGGTTCACTTTTCCCACAGATCAATGTCCTATACTGCCTGTTGTTCAATGCCTGAAATCAGTTGCTGCTTCATATATTTTGTCTAAGTTTATAGTTGTTTTCAGTGGTATGGGAAGCTCAGTATTTATTACAATGTTGTGATCAGAATTAAATGTATGTCCTTAAAATTTATTGACTTTTAATTCACATCTGTTGAGGTCTTACCTCCTCTGCAAGTGCTTCTGACAGAATTAGGTGTTTCTTCTCTTATGTACTCACCCCCTCTGTCATTTTACAGGGTTGCCATTATGTGTGTGCAAGTTAATTTGAGCAGTATGACATTCCTGAATTCAGGTATCATGTCTTTCCTTCTTTACATCTATTCTGCCTAGCATATCACAAGGAAGGATTTGATAACTAATTAAATAAATAAAAAATCCTTTTGCTTCAACCTGTAAATTGCAGCTGCTAATAACATTACTTCTTTTGTATTGTTTACTTCTGGTTTCACTTGTGTCTAGACTTAGTATAAGTAGAAAAATCTTCAAATATTATACAGAAAACTCTATGGTTACTAAAATGATTAGAGAGTTACTAATGAAAGCATTAGGGTAAGTTATACAATGATTACTTAATTTCCTACTCTTGAAATGATCACAACAGAACTTGCCTGGCCATAGCATAATTTGGGGGACTCTGGGTAAAAAGACATTTTTCATACCAATAATGATATAAAATTTTAAATTATTACAGTGTGACTTAAAACATAAATATCATAAATCTTTGTCTGCTTGTGTGTGTACATAACACAATAATAATAGAAAATACTATCAGCTAAACCTCCAAATACATATTTTTATTCAGTAAAAGATAAGTACTATAACAGTGTATTTAGTTTTGATGAATCTGAAACTTTAAAAATACTTTAAAAAAATTATTTTCCTTTTTTTCCAGAAAAAAATAATTTGTCCAAGCACTTGAATTTGTGAAAATAAGTAAGTTTTTTTCAAAAGCAATATTAATAGATTTCCCTATTTAAGGTTAGTTATTTTCATTACCAAATTAATTCAATACATCACAGAATGATTCTTTCAGATTTGTATTTTTGGGTTGATGTATATTACACATACCTCTATGTTCTTTGGCCAGGTGCTTTCCCATTTCCTGGGTAGAAAAGAATCTTTAAAAAGCATCAGAGAAGGTTCCACAATATTCATATGTCCACTCGTTTCATTCTCTTCTTCTGGCATTAAGTCAGTTGAGGATGGATATATAGAATGAATGTTACTTTCAAATCCTATATAGTAGTTATAATTTTCATTGTCAAATTCTCTCTGTAGATTAATTTTATATGAACTAGTGGATGATGGAGCTAATATATTGAATCCGGAGTCACCAGCACCATGATGTTTTTCTACAGGGTTTCCCCAGGAGCTTTCTTTATTCATGTTTTGAAGTCTTGGTAGCACAGAAGGACTAAAACCAATTACTGGTGTCTTCCTAACTTGATGCTGGGAGAGCTCAGGGTTTTTAGAAGTGAATTCATTCAAGGATATTTGGTGTGTTTCATCTAATGAATGCTTTTCTAAGTCCCAGTTTGGTGTACTGGGCACAAAAAAGCTGTTTTCTTCAATTTCATTCTGACAGAGAGGAATTTTATTACTGATTTCATCTACTAGCTGATCAAAACCTAGACTGACTTGACTAGAAGAAAAGGGTTGATTTACGGAGTGAAATTCTTGGTGCCCATGCTGTTCTTCATGTGATTTATTAGGATTTAGATCAGCTTGCCGGCAATATGCCATTCTTTATTTTATGTAACTGAGAGAGTTGACTCTGCTCCAAATATCTCCTTGATGACGTTACAAAAGAGGGTAGAAATTTTCCTAGAAAAGGCATAAAAGGAAACAAAAAATCTTTAATTTGAAATAAAAGAGCTTGTAAGAAAGTAAGATGATGAATAAATTTAAACAAGTGTTTTGAAGTTTTTTCTTAGCAAGTGAAATAATTCCTTGAGTAATGTAAAACTTCAAGGCTCACAACATTATGCATCTGAGAGGGAGTATTGACTTTGAATAGACTGATGAAATTCCTGTGGTAGAAAAATAAGTCCACCTCAGTTATGATCAGTAATCATCATTCTATCCAAAGTCAATATTCTTCCCCTTTTGACTCCTTTTTCTACTGAATCTGTGTTTGCCTATAACATCAGTACTTCCCTCTGTACTCAATCATGCTAACGTCCCTTTCTTATCAGCTAAACAATCTGTTGATTGGCAACTGTCCCATCCCTAGACATAGCCTCAACTTTTTTCTCCCCTCCACAACTAATCATCTTAAAATGGTTGGCTAGAATTTTTCCTCTTCTCCCTCAAACTCTAAACAATTGCAAAATCCTTTCATCCACTTCTCTAAAACTACTTCCTTTAAGTTTATTAATGAACTTTATGTCAGTAATTCGAATGACATTTCTCAGTCTCTTTTTAAGTTTCTCTCTCCATAGTATTTGATATCCTTCACCAGGCTTCTTACTTTAAAATGTCTTGCTTTTTTACTTTGTCTGTCTGTGACACTGTACTCTCTAAGTTTTTCCTTCCTCTTCATTCTCAAGTACTCCTTTGCCTGTTACTCATTTTTCATCTGATCCTTCTCAGAGTTTATTTTCTTCTGAATTATTCTCATTATAAGTAATTTCATACCCTGTGGTTTAAATGACCATTTATTTGTCAATGACTCCAGCCCAGACCACTCCATTTGCTACTTAGTGGGTCTATCAACTTGGATTTTTAAAAATATCTCCAACTGAAAGCCCAAAACTTAAATCACAATTCACCAAAGAACTACCCCTTTTCCAGTATTTTTTGTGGCAGAAAATAGCCCAACCATCCACTCATTTGCTTAAACTGGACACCAGGGTTTCATCATTGAATTCTTCGTCACTTTTATTCTTCTGTATCCAATAAACCACCCAGTCCCTGCAGGGTGCACCACATAAATGTATCTAGAATCTATCTTCCTCTCTCTGTCTACTACTGCCATAATTCTAGTTTAAAGCTTTTATCTTCTCACCTGAAATGTTATATCGTCTCTGAAATTGCTTCTACATTTTCTGCAGTCCATTCTTGTGCCATATAATCCATTTTTTCACACTATAATGTTATATTCAAGAAACTAACCAAGTACCTCCCCTAATTATAATTTTTCAGTGGTTTCCTACTGTCTCAGGTTAATGTTAGTAATTCCTCAAGGGACTTGGAAGTTCCCCAATGACCTGGCTACTCGATCTCACTCTCTGCTCTTAATCAACTGGACCTTCTCTTGAATCCTCAAAAGGATTTGTTCCCTCACACAGCAGCATTTGCCCAGTCTTATTTTGGACACTTACCTTTCTTGTTGGCTGGCTAATTTTCATGATTAACATAGATACCTTATTATCCAGCCAAAATTTGTTTTTCAGGAATTGCCATTTTTAAAAAAAACTTCATGTTTGTAGTGAAAGCTATGCTTCATTAAAGCAAATTATACTACTTCCATCTTTCATGGAATTCAGAATTTGTTAGCAAGTGTGACTTCGACTTTGACAACCAGACCTAATATCCTGTTCCAGTTTTCCTCAGTCTGACCTGCTCCTTCTTAGCTTATTATGCCAAATGTAGCTATGTTAAAGTGACTTTTATAATTTTTGGTGGCTTTAAAACCTTTGCTTTTGAGGTTTTTAAAATTATTTTTTATTTTGTAGGGCCAGATAGGAGGTCTTTAAATAAGGTATCAGTGTTCTGATGCTGAAATGAAAGATTCCTTTAGGTTGGACCACCTTGTTATTGTTAATAATCAAAATAATGATTATGATAATTATGCCTAACATTTTTCGAGCACCTACTCTGTGCTAGTGCTCTAGATACATGCACATGTTTATTTGTATAGACAAATTTATTTCTCACCTCAACCTGTCAGATACATAGCATTATTACCACCACTGAACAAGTGAGGAATCTGTGACTCACAAGAAAAATCAATTTACTTAAGATTTTAGAGTTTGTGTTCAAAGATTTATTTTAAACAGGAATTAAAGGGAAGCATAGGGGTGAACGTGTCATGGTAGTAAGACATCTAGAATATCCTTGGATTTAGGCACTGCAGCACAGTTATTAACTCAGCTCAAACTATCTCTACCGAAAAGGGTTAAAAACTTTAAAATTTTTATTAGTAAGAATACTTTTTCAAGTATTTCTCGCAGCAAATTTGAAATGGGTTAGAAGCATATCTGAAAAAAATCTCATTATCACTAGATAAAGAATGAGAAATACTTTTTTATTGAAAATATAATAAAAACAAAATCTCTTTGAGATCTATTTTTTCAACATTAAATTTGGTTATTGTAGGGAAAACAGAATAATTTAGTTAGGCCTCCTCCACATTTCTTATAAACAAGTTGTGTGGGTGGAGTTAATGTGCATGTGCACACATGTATCTTTCTACTTAATTGCTTTTGTTGTGTTCTGCAGTTTTGTGAAGCAGAGCTGGCTGCAGAGAGGTTGCCTCTAACAATAGAGCATGTTTACTCTGCTGGCAGCTGCTCAGTTTCAGTTTTTCAGTGGACGTTGCCAGTAGCGGTTGAGTTTTTGAGTTTTCTCTTTGTACTGCCTAGCTCTTAGTGTTGTGTGTGCTGGATAAAGACTATTCCTTCTTCAGCCAAGGCTCATACACCTGCATGTGAAGGGTTTGTGAATGGGCTCGAGGGGTCTGTGAGCTTCAGACCCAACCCTAGCTCTACAGTTATTTTAAGTAATTTCTAATAATTATAAATATCCTTTTTACCATCATAATGTAAAAACTAGAATATTTCTTAGTTTATACACAAACAAATAAGTATGTTATTCAGTGCCAGCTAGTAAATGTTTGTACTCTGGATTATGAAGTATTGTATAAAATAATTAAAAGTCATATACCTTGACTTTGAAGCAGAACTGCACATGTTTAGCAACAATTATGACTTGATTGAAAGGGCATGGCTATCAGTCCCTGATTTAAGTAAGACTCTGATGAACTATGGAAAATATGTGTGGTAGGCAGAATATGGCCCCTCAAATATTCCCATGTTTTAATCCCTGGAACCTGTGAATATGTTAAGAACATGATGAAGAAAAATTATAGTTACAGATAAAATTAAGTTTCTTAATCAGCTGACCTTAAAATGAGGAGATTATCTGAGTGGGCTCAGTGCAAAAACAAAGATCCTTAAAAGTGGGAGAGGGCGATAGAGGACAAGGTCAAAGTGATGTGATATAAAGACTTAACCTGCTTTTTTCCAGCTTTGAAGATGGAGGAAGGGGCCAGGAGCCAAGGATTGTGAGCAGCTTGTAGAAGCTGGAAAGGGAAGGGGAATGGATTTTCCCTTAAAGTCTCCAGAAAGAAATGCAGACCTTACGACATCTTGGCTTTAGAACAATCACCCCTGTTGGACTTCTGACCTACAGAACTGTAAAAAAATAAGTTTGCATCATTTTAAGACACTAAGTTTGTGATAATTTATTACAGCAGCAATAAAAAATGATTTCACTATGCAAACCAGAAGCTTTCTTGATTGGGAAATCAGGGACTAAAAGAAGTATAGAAGACCACGCGAAAAAACAACCCTCTATTTTGTTGGAAAGTTCAGCTAAATTGAAACAGGATATTTAAAAGGTGTTATTAGTAATAATAATTGTAATTGCTTGTAACACTCTATTCATTTCAACTTGCAAGAGATTGGTTATTATTGAGGGTTAATTACTTATTTGGTTTCAAAGAGAAAGTACAGACAAAATTTAGGCACCTATCAGAAAAAGGGCAGCTCCTGCCAGCTGCTTCTATTTGCGAAATCAACAAAGGTGTAAATATCATCCAGCTAGCTCCAATGTTCAGAATGGGAACAAAAATGCTTATTTTTCAAAAGAACAAAGAACAAAAAGAACCTTTCTGAAAATGTCTGTTCTTGATCCAAAAAGTTCTGGCTACATTACTAAGTATATCCTCAGGGGAGAGATGAGAAGAGGGTGAAAGGAACAAATTATGGGATTGAAGGAAAATAGTCTTTATTTCAGATAAATTTTAGGCATAGAAAATTTACTATTTTTAAAATATATATAAATATCATGGAAGATAAAGACTGTGCCGAGACAGGACATGTCAATGTCTAATCAAGCTAAACCATCTGTATTTTCAGTAAGATGGAAGAAAAGCCTATAACTATGGCAGCTAACCTGGTTACTTGGAAGACTCTGAGCTGGAAGGATGATCGGCAATTTCCAAGTCTGTCTTCATCTGCTGAAGCAATTGTATATATCACACTGGCATATACACAGGCGCGCACACACACAAGTATTTTAGCTAGACATAAATCTGGCCTTCCTCAGCTTAATTTGGGTATGAATACAAAGAAGACAACAATTAAATACATATATTTATCTTTTATATTATTTACATTACCCTATTTTCATTTCTAATTTAAAGGTAAACATTTTACTATTTTTATAAGCTCTGATATTATTTTCGCCTTAGTGAATACAAGAGGAGCTTGGGGAAAACGTTAATTTCCAAACAGTCTCTATCAGCTGCCCTTTTATATAAACAGTTGGCATTTTCCTAATCACATATGGTCCTACAGAAGCCTCACTTCCCATTAGACTGCTTGAAGTTTCTGGTACATGGAGAATTTTAAGCTGTCACTTATTTTTATTTTTGAGAAATATGGACTTTAATAAAAAACCAATTTATTTATTCATACACCTATGTTTACTCATACACCTTGCTCATTTGCATATTT